CCAACAAGTAGTACCACAACACCACCAACAAGTAGTACCACAACATCACCAACAAACAGTACCACAACATCACCAACAAGTAGAACCACAACATCAACGACAAACAGTACCACAACATTACTAACAAGCCGTATTACAACATCAACAACCAGCAGTGTCACAACACCAACTCACAGTACCACAGGCTCAACAAAAATCGTTTCCACTACACCTGGAACAACATCAACAGCCATATCAAACAGTTCAATGGAGTCATCCCCTGTTACTACAACTTTAGCCATGTTTTCATCCCAAATTACCACTTCTGTCTCGCCAATCACGTCGCCTGCACCCTGTTCCAATATACAGACTCAGCATGCGGTCATATCAAGTGGCGACACCTATGTTGGGAGTCTAGTGACACTGACCTGCAACCAAGGATATATATTTCCAAACGGAGTGATCACAAAAGTTGTCCGTTGTTTGGAAAATGGTTCTTGGAATGATTACATCACATTATGTCAAGGTGAAATAGTTATTTTAGACAAACTTTATTTCTTTCGTTTTTTTTTTAGAATGAATGAGAGCCCTTCATCGATAAGTGTATCAATCTAATTTTTACACGTCATATATTATCATCAAATGATTTATGTCACATTCGGATTGTTTCTTGCACATAACAGTACCACATAACTCTTTTTCTCACATGCAAAAGTAAGGAATGAGCTCGTGTCGGCCATCACAAGGTAATTTTCCAATGTTTCAGTTACGCTCTGTCCCGACCCACAGCCTGTACAGAATGCCACGTACCAAGACACCTACAACGTGACAGTGGGCAGTACCGTTGTATACACATGTGATAACAACACTTACTTCATGGATGGCTCGACCACCAGATGGATCCACTGCACTATTTATGGTACCTGGCGACCAGAATTACCTCCATGCATAGGTATAACTTACATCTAGAACACAACGTGTTCCACTGTTCTGAAGATAGTTGATTACAGTAATTGATGACAGGGTATTCGTGGAATAAGGCTACTCTGCTATATAGACAGATAGGGTGCATATCACATATAAATACTTAGCGTGAAGGGAATGGGGATGGGGGAAAGGATAAGGCTACTCTGCTATTTAGACAGATAGGATGCCTATCACATATAAATATTTAGCGTGCAGAGAATGGGGATGGGGGACAGGATAAGGCTACTCTGCTCTATAGACAGACAGGGTGCATATTACATATAAATATTTAGCGTACAGGGAATGGGGATGGGGGACAGGATAAGGCTACTCTGCTCTATAGACAGATAGGGTGCATATTACATATAAATATTTAGCGTACAGGGAATGGGGATGGGGGACAGGATAAGGCTACTCTGCTCTATAGACAGATAGGGTGCATATTACATATAAATATTTAGCGTACAGGGAATGGGGATGGGGGACAGGATAAGGCTACTCTGCTCTATAGACAGATAGGGTGCATATTACATATAAATATTTAGCGTACAGGGAATGGGGATGGGGGACAGGATAAGGCTACTCTGCTCTATAGACAGATAGGGTGCATATTACATATAAATATTTAGCGTACAGGGAATGGGGATGGGGGACAGGATAAGGCTACTCTNCAGAGAATGGGGATGGGGGAAAGGATAAGGCTACTCTGCTATATAGACAGACAGGGTGCATATTACATATAAATATTTAGCGTACAGAGAATGGGGATGGGGGAAAGGATAAGGCCACTCTGCTATATATAGACAGATAGGATGCATACCACATGTAAATATTTAGCGTACAGAGAATGGATGGGGGAAAGGATAAGGCTACTCTGGTGTAAATAGATAGGGTGCATATTACATATAAATATTTAGCGTACAGGGAATGGGGATGGGGAAAGGATAAGGCTACTCTGCTATATAGACAGATAGGGTGCATATTACATATAAATATTTAGCGTACAGGGAATGGGAGTGAGGGAAAGGATAAGGCTACTCTACTTTAGACAGGGTGCATATCACATATGAATATTTAGGGTTAAATGTTCAACAATTATGCTAATTTTTGTTAATTATCCCTGCTCTTTTGTGACATAAGTTAGAGATCCTGTTATCATGCCTGTCCCTGTGTCCGTACTATCTCCTCCTAGACCAGTAAATTGGGGAAGAAACAACTTTTGGAGTTGATATACTTGTCATTAGGGTTGGGTGGGTCTTTTGTGTGGAAGGTAGACCTGTCATCAGGGATGTGCATAGAATGTAGAACTTGAAATTTTTGGTATCGATATACCTTTGATCAGGAGTGTGCATGGGCACTTAGGCATTTCAGTGTACCGTCTCCGGGGGACGGATGTTCCCAATGTGGAGATATGGCTACACATCGACACTATTTAGTTCTGATTTTTAAGCGTTTGTGGGAATTCGGATGTATTTTGACCTTTTGGTCCATATTTTAAAATTCCATCAATACTTAGTGTTTTCATTTCATACTTCAGCCCCAGATCAACTTCTGAAAGTGACACCACGAAGACGCCGCAACCAAAACCCTGTCGAGGCACCCGGGGCATCAGCAATCGGCACGTTTTCTATCCTGATTATACTGGGAATCGTTGTGTTTATTGTGGGGTTAGATGCTTCCACCCTGTTTAATCACATTACAAAGAAGCTTGTGTCAAATTTAAGGAAAGCGCGCCGAAGATATTCAAGAAAACACAAGGATGCACACCGAGTTAAAAGGCTCACGTTGATGTAACTGCCGGGGCATTACCAAATGCCTCTGATATCCGCTGGGCCGTTACCAAATAAAATGCATGCGATATTTATCTTTATCAAAACGATGATATTACAAGTGCTGCAATTAGGATGCGTGTCGAGTACAATATAGACGTGCCTACAGCGTCAAAAATTAATATACGGGAATGTGCTTTAAACTTAGTGCACAGCAACATGTATTTCTATAATGATTTATGAGGATTAGGATATACTGCGTATGATACACTCAGACTTGTTTAACTAGAATAGGAACCTGAACGTATTAGTCAAAAATCTCAAACATGTCAGTGTTTAATTATAAATTCGATTTCTACCTGTAAGTTACAGTATATTTGATGGCTTTTAAAATTGGGTTCTTTCTAGTGATCAATAAGAAATATGGTTGGTTATCGGCAATTTATAGGGAAAGGCAAATGTCATGTTCAAGGAAAAATGGATCAGAGAAGAAAATCAAAGTTATCGAAAGGCAATACTTCACCATTAGAAATTTAATCACAATTTTCGGAGTAAGCAATTTGTGTTAAACTTCCGATAATTTACCAAAATTATAATTGATCACTAGGAGGACTGAAAAAAATCCCGAAATATACCGAAATTTACCGAAGGCAGACCATGAAATCAAAATAAAACACTAACGAACTGTTTGAATAACACCTTTGCCTCCGTTTGAACTTTAAGAAAACGCAGATGCAGCCTTCTGTATTTCATCATTATCAGGGTATTAAAGCAAAAATGGAAAAACCGCAAAGTCACAACAGTTATGTATGTCCAATATTAGCTAATGTAAATAGCCATTCCAGAGTAAAGAGCGTTCTGTTATGTTCACTTTTCACTGCTACCTGTACCGTGTATATCTGTGTTTACTAAGCTATTCTAGAAATAATGTAAATAACCTTTGTCTACAGGTATGTTTCAATGGTTATTTTTTAGAATATTGGTGAGACAAAGTGCTGTGCAACTGTTTTAACATGTGAATACAAATAACTTACACTTCAACTGTATTTGTACTGAACTTAGGGATGCACTGTGTAAGCTGTTTTAACATGTGAATACAAATAACTTACACTTCAGTTGTATTTATACTGAACTTAAGAGATGCACTGTGTAAGCCGTTTCTCGTGAAAAGCTCCTAATTATAACTTATATTTTAGGGCAAAGGTATTTTACTCTAACCAATCTTTGATCCTCCTCTCCTTACACATGTCATAGCTATGGTATAATCTGGGAATTTTTAAAGTCCCGACAGGCTTAAATTAATGATGTATTTTCGAAAACCGCAATTCCTTGAGGCTCAATTTTGTGTCAAAATGGATGACGGGCGATTAGCAAGTGATAAATTTGATTATTTTTGCGACATTAATTCATTGCATTACCTATTTGAATATTAATAAAAGTTACTTGTCATAAGAGAAGCTCAACAAAGAGTGAGTATTATGCATAACGTGTGTTAAAAAACCCTACTTTTGTCACTTTTATTACTATTTTTAATTGGAAATGTTGTATTATCGGTAATAAATATTTATATTTTGTAATACATTTATGCATGTCAAGCTGAATATTGCCACAGTGCTGTAGGTGGGATATGTTGTAATGGGATGTGTTGTAGTGGACTGTGTTTACCTTACTGACATAATATTTATTTAGTAAACCTTGTGTTCAAATGATAAAACATCCACGCAGGCATAATACGTTGCTCAGTGCTCGTTTGCATTAACTTATGATGTAATATCATCCAGAAGTGGTGTATCGTAATAAAATTGTTCAGTATTTAGAGATTGTGCGACACGTGTTAATTGTTTACTCTTTCTTATAATTCCGTCTCTTCGCTGAGTTCGTCTTGTAATTTTTTCCTATTGAAGTTGGCGCATTTCTCAAACTACCTACTACAAATGTATGTTCAAAGGAGACTGATTAACCCTGTCCGACAACCCATTATAGAGGCGTCACGTGGACGAGGCTCCCGTGCACCACGATATAACCTTACAGAGAACCACATTAAAACCAATAGCAACAGGTTGCTTGCCTTTATCGCTATATCGATCATTACCATACATACGACAGCACAAAGCGTCGGCATTTCTTCTTTTCTTATGTTATTGATCAGTTACCAATTCGCCACTGAATTATTGATAGCTACCACAGCTACAGACAAGCAGTTCGTGTTTTGGTTCGTGATATAACTTACATCCAGGCCTTACATATGATGTACACGGGCGATATGAAAAGTCCCTTAGAACACATCCGGCGTATAAAGAAAAAGGTAATATTTAATAATTGTGATCGGGTTCTTTTAGTATCACCCTTACATTATAAAATCGTTTGTTTTCGCCAGTGACCTACAGATTGCGTTCTTTCATGAAATGCGCACCGATATATCGATATAACAGGTATAAGCATGTGTTATACGTATTATATATATATATATATATATATATATATATATATATATATATATATATATATATTGTGTCATAAATAATAGGTAGGTATAAGCATGTGTTTTAGCTGTAAATGTGTTTGAGAAAATTGTTTTATAAATGATATAGCGATATAACCATGTGATTCACTTATTATTTATTACTCTGTTATAATTTGTTTCATGATATATGACAATATTAGCATGCGTTACACACATACGTTATAAATATGTTATATACTATTTTATATATTGTGTTATAAAAGTGTTATAATCTGTGTTATAACTATAAATGGAAGAGGGAAAAGCAGCTGGGCGGGGTTTGCTTGCGGTATTCTGTTTACAATGTGATACCCCTTGACGCGACAAATTATTAGAGCTTCATGATCAAGAACAGCTGTAGGAGTGAAAAGAATGGTCGTCCTAAGAATGGAAGTCTGGGGTCCTATATGATT